CGCTCCCCAGCAGCACTGGTTTGCCTTCGCATACCTTCAACTAACCTAAAGTTGCATGTAGCGGTTGGTAGACAGCCCTTTACTCCCGCAGGTGCATATTTTTACATGCAGTTTTCAGCGACTCGTCAAAGGGAGAAGAAAGCACAAGAATATCAGGCATGCAACTGCTGCAAACGACTCGGCTTTGTCTTAGTGCGCTCAACCCTCCGCACAACACTCAGCATAGCGAGCAGCAGAAGAAGTTCTCCATTTTCCTTGTAGCTCCTTTCAGCAGCTCTTCATTCTCGGGTCAATGCTTTGCATTCTCAATTGACCGCCAGCTTGAAGATGCCACCATACCACTAATGTTGTCTTCTGAAACGGTTTAGGGAATCCCTGATATATTTCTTGAAATATGAAAAAAATAGCAGAGACGCCATTGCGAGAAGGGCCCACTGGAAGAGATCGGTTCTTCTCGCAATGGCGTCACTGCAGCAATAGTTGGTCCAACAACTTTCAACTAAGGAAAAGGCTCACTGCACAAGTAGGAAGGCTCCTCGCTTCTGTTCGTGCTGCGGCGCCTGCGGAGGGAAGGATCCCAGGTGTTGCGACGAACCAAAGCTGACATAGCCCGTCCATCAGCTTGAAACGTTGAAACACCAGCACTTTCAAATACAGAGACAAGAACTATTGGTCCTGGATACCCATTTCGCGAATCCCAGTTGCCACAGGAGAAGAGACTATTACATTAACTGCAGGGATCTAGGCAACAGAAAGGGGCCCTCGAGGAGAACACGTGCAAAGAAACGCCACAAGAGCAACTACAGTCCCTCCACGACACAGCAGCGGCGATTACAAGCGTGGGCATATAAATAGTGCAGTGCAAAGTTGAACAGCGAATCATCTCTTGCTGACCGTCTCTCTGCTACGTCTATATAGAGGGACCGATATCTGGATATCTAAGTGTTATCCGGCGCTATTATCCCGCTGCTATGGTTCGCTTAGATGACTCTCCCCTCCATCCCCACCGGTGCCTACAGCTACATCGACAGTGCCCCTGACAGAACTTGCCTTTTTCTGTTTTTTTCCTTGCCCCCTTTGGTACTGACCGCACACCCCGTCTCACGCGAGCTTGGGCGCTGCGGGCCTATATCCTGATAGTTACGTATTTGTATTTAGGTTAGGATGCCCACATGGGAACACCTATGGCCCAACTAACCCTCGAACCAAGAACTCCTTAGATGGCCAGTGGTCACACCGCTGCGCAGGCATGCAGCATTGCTGGGCTATAGGCAGCCGCACCAAATGCAAGCAGTATCGCCAGATTTTTCTTGCCTTACCCCCTTGTTATTGTTCATTTCTCGTTTCTGTGTTGAGAGCTCTGGCTCCTCTAAAGCCCTACATCGCTTCCCTTGATGCACCCATTCCTTGTTCAATCTGCATACGAAGGCGTGCCATAGGAGAGAGTGGGAGAGGGGGGATGTTGTAGCATGACTGTCTGACGTTGGTAGATGCATTTTGACTTGTGCGCAGGCTGCCTACTAAGGAGCAGGAAGGTGTTCAATAGTTGTTTGCATCGTTACTGCATGCAGCAACAAGGGGCTTGCTTGTGCTTGCATGCGGGATTGCCCTGTAACAGTAATTGCAACGATGCGCTTAGCGACTCATCTTCAGGACGGCTGGGGACTGCAAGAAAGGTCAGCGGTTCTTGATAACTCCTACCTTGACTACTTTAACCCCACTGCAGCTGAACCCTCTCCTTGTATAAGACAGAGGCCTCCCGTTACAACGGTAGCAAGGCCTGTCTGATGCATACGGGCATGCGTGCACAGCAGCCCTCGTGCCGGTTTTCTACAGGTGACGAAGTTAGTATTCAATAATTCTTTATGGCCTTAGGAATGCCGGGGGGTGCAAGAGAAACTAAACTCTCACTAGTATAGCATAAGCAGCAGCAGATAAAGCTTCGTTGCAATTCGTCTTACCGGGCAACACCGCAGGCAAACGCAAACACTGCATGCACAACTCGCGTGCTGGGTGGCTACTGGTGGCGAAGTTAATATTCAACGATATTTTTGCATGCAGCAAAAAGAATGATAGGTAGGCTTGCATGCGGTGCATGTGGAGGTGCTTTGCAGCAGAAGTTGCAGCTTCAAGGGCTGTTAACTCAAAGCAAGCCGTCTCCCAGGCTTCTGTATGGATCTGTTTAGAGCATTTGAAGACAAGACAGAGTATTTGCTGCTGCTAATGCTACATCAGTTAGCGTTAGGTTTCTGTTCCCACCCGTGGGGGTCCTAGTTTGTGGCTTTTAAAGCTGTTCTGTTTAGTTTGGGTCTTAGTTGGGGCAACAAGGAGGCCCTAAACCCTCACCTAAACCCTTAAATCACCCGTAAAGTTTCAACGGAAACAGCCTTCAAAAGAAGCGCACTGGAGAGATAACTTGTCTCCTAGGACTTGGAGGAGAAAAAGCCATCAGCAGTAAACCCTAAACCCTACATCTAAACCCTAAACCCTGAAAGAGGCTCCGTGTAAGTAAACCCCTTCCACCGGGAGTCGACCGAACCCCAGGGCCCTTAAAGAAGATAAACGGTTCTCTATAACTAAACCCTAAACACTCCTAGCCTTGTTTAGAGCCTTGCGGGGTTTGGTGTGTATATGCTAGCCAACCAATACTGAGGAGACAGTTGAGGAGTAGAAGGCCGCAATATTTTGTTTAAAATTCACCTCTAAATTCATTTTGATATAGTGGGTATACGCTGGGATCTCCGCCTTAGGGTTTAGGGTTTAGGGTTTAGGGTTTAGTGGGCATCGAAGCCCCGCATCGCATGCACGAGGGGGGCCCTGTTTTTTCTTTGTGTAAAACGGAAGAATGAAAGTTCACTTGTTTTAAAACAAAAACAAATAAATTTTGTGTAGTGTAAACAGCAATTCTCTTTGCTGTTCTGTTGCCGTTTCTGTTGCTGCTGCTGTTGCTGCTGCTCCTGCTGAGCAGCAGGGCCGCGGTCTTGTTTGGGGGCCCCACGCTTAGAGGAAACCTTAAACCCTAAACCCTAAACCCTAAACCCTAATCGCGCGCTGCTTCTTTATCACTGTTGAAGGGTATCTGGAATCTGTGGGCAGCACGATATAAGGTAAGCCCCGAGGGTTTATGGTTTAGTGTTTTGTTGTAGGACGCACATAGGGTTTGCGGCTGCAGGGTTTAGGGTTTAGGCTTTGCCTCTGTGGTGAAGCGCAGAGTTGATGCATGCATTATTCAAGGTACAGTTGCGAGTCCGCTGCAGCCGCAGCGGCAGCAACGGTAGCAGCACTTTTGCATGCATGCTTCTTAGCTCTGCAGGTTGTTCATCTGCTGTCATTGCTGCTGCTGCTGCTGCTGCTGCTGCTGCAGATGAGTGGCCGCGGGGGTCGCGGCGGTTTCCGCGGGGGTAGAGGTGGAGGGCGCGGGGGTTTCAGAGGAGGTAGAGGAGGAGGCGGAGCGGGTAAACTCTAAACCATAAACCCTAAACCTTAAACCCTTATGTGCAGCTTACTAGTGGTTGTTGCGCAGACAGCGTTTGCTGCATCAGCAGTAGGACATACAACGGCATGCACTGAGTAGCACCAACTGCGGCAGCAGCAGTAAGAGCCGCAACAGCAGCAACAACAGTAATAGCAGCAGCAGCAGCAAGCTTGTTTGTTTGTTTGTTTGTTTTGCAGGGTTTAACACTGGGCCTCCGGAGGCAATTATTGGTGCATACCCAAACCCTAAACCCTAAAACCCTCATCCCTAAACCCTGAACCGTACATCCTACCTTTTTCGTTTTTTCGGAGTGTGATAGGGTCGATAAACGCGGGTTACCTTTAGGGTTTAGGGTTTAGGGCTTAGGGTTTAGGGTTTAGGATTTAGGGTTTGCGTGCAGAGGCGGGAGAGGTGATGCATGCAGCAGAGAATGAGTTGGTGGTTAAGGGTTTGCTGCAGCAGCAGGTGCCTTACTTCAACGGTAGAATCTTCCTTGCAAATAAAGAAGAAGTTGGAAGAGTAGACGAAATCCTGGGCCCTATCAATGAAATGGTAAACCCTAAACCCTAAACCCTAAACCCTAAAGGGTGATTGAGAAGAGTGCCTTCATATGGTTTCGATTGTGGGTGTCTTCTACGGCTTGCATTCGATTTAGGGTTTAGGGTTTAGGGTTTAGGGTTTACGGTTTGTGCTGCAGTATTTCTCGGTGAAGCTGAATGACGGAATAAAGGCTTCATCGATTAAACCCTCAACCAAAGTGAGCCCAAACACTAAACCCTAAACCCTGAATCCTAGACACTGAAACCCCCCTTATTCAACTACCCATATCAATGCTGCTCATCCGCTGCTGCTGCTGCTGCTGCTGCTGCTGCAGTTTTTCGTTGATGTGAATCAGACGCTTCCTCTTTCTCGTTTCCTCCCTAAACCCCCAATCGCGAAGGGAGCGGCTGGCAGCAGCAAACCAAGTGAGGGTTTAGGGTTTAGGGTTTGGAGTTCAGTGGTTTACACAGGGAAGCAACAGACCGAATGAGGGTTTAGGCTTAAGTTGTGTGTGAAGGGTAGCAGCAAACCAAGCGAGGGTTTAGTGTTTAGGGTTTAGCGTTCAACAGGTTAGGAGCGGCGGCAGCAACACATCTAAGGGTACAGGGTTTAGGGTTTAGGGCTTAGGGTTTAGGGTTTAGGGTTTGGGAGTGTGCAGGCGGGGGTCCTGCTCGCGGGGGGCGAGGAGGGTTTAGGGGCGGCAGCAGCAGAGGAGGCCGAGGGCAGCGCGGAGGGTTTAGAGGAGCCCCAAGAGGTGGTGGGGGTGGCTTCAGGTAAGAAACCCTAAACCCTAAACCCTAAACCCTAGCGCGTCTAGAAGAGCTCTTCTTGAGGGCTTAACACCCACAACTCCAGCCTTCTGCGTCTTGCAGGGGCGGCAGAGGAAGAGGACGCTAATAAACCGCAGCAGCTGCAGCAGCAGCAGCAGCTGCTGCTGCTGCATCAACTGCAGCATCAGCAGCTCAAGAACGTGCTGCGGCAGCAGCTGTCCAAGTCGCACTTCCCGCTGCTGCCTGCAACAGAGCAGCAGCAGCAGCTGCAGCAGCAGCATTCGGTTTGTTGGGGTCTCCACTCTGCATGCAGTTTCGATGCCACTGCTTGCGGGGCGCAGCAGCACGGTTGTGGGAGTTCGTTGCAGTTTCTATCAGCAGCAGCTGGTGCTGCCTTCTTGGGGTGTGCAGCTAGCTAGCTACAGCTAGCCGCCATAGCTAGCTGTAGCTAGCCTTAACACCTAGCTGCTACATAGTTCGACGCTGCTGGTGCTTGCAGCAGCAGCATTTGGATATAGTGAGCAGCATATAGCTGCACTCGTTCTTAGCTAGCCGTAATCAGCAGCTTCTGGCTGCAGCTAGCTGAAGCTAGCTAGCTTTCAGTGCTGTTGGCTAGCTACTACTAGCTAGCTAGGCACAGCTGGCTGTAAAGCAAAGCCCCAGATGCAAACAACGCTGGACCGGAGACCGTTTCAGGGGCATCATAAGGATAAACACCCCTAGGGGAGGCTGGCTAGCTAGGGCTAGGCACAGCTAGCTGCAGCAGCTAGCTGCTCCAGCTAGCTTGACACGTTGGCTTAGCAGCTGGGTGTAGGAGCTAGCCGTAGCAGTAGCAGCTAGTTGGAGCTGCTAATTGTAGCACGTAGGCGTAGTAGCTAGCTGTAGCAGCTAGCTGTAGCAACTAGCTGTAGCCTCTGGGCATTCCAGCTAGCGGTAGAAGCTAGCTGCAGCACGTAGGTGTAGCAGCTAGCTGTAGCAGTTAGCTGTCCGTGGTGGCGGTGTGTATATCTCTATGCCTGTAGAGGTGCGTTTCCTGCGGCTAGCTGATGGTTACTGCGGCTGGCTGCAGCTAGTTGCAGCTAGCTGCTGCTGCTGCAGTGCAGCTGTGGGGTGGGGGCAGGCGGCTGCAGCAGCAGGGTACAGGCGCAGAATTAGGGTTTAGGGTTTTGAGGGGTCCAGTCTGAGGTATACGTACACCTCAGCCTTCGCGAAGTAAAACACTAAGTAGATAATTAGGGTTTAGGGTTTAGGGTTTAGGGTTTACGGGGGAGACACAACACTAAAGAAGCAGCAGCAGCAGAAGACAGCAGGGGGCCCCTGCATGCGGCATGCGGGTCACTAGGGTTTAGGGTTGAGGGTTTAGGGTTTTAACTGGAATTGAAAATCCGAGTTTCTACACTAGGAAATTGAACTTGCTGCTGTCTGAGGCCACCGGTACAGAGGAGCAAACCCTAAGCAGCAGCAGCAGCAGCAGCAGCTGCAGCAGCAGCAGCAGCAGCAGGAGCAGCATCAACAGCAGCAGCAATATCTTATACCTTTTATACCTTCTGCCTCCTTTAGCAGCACGCCGGCGACATTTTTACGGTGGGGGCGAGACTGCAACTACAGAGTCTAGGGTTTAGGGTTCAGGGTTTAGGGTTTAGGGTTCTGAGCTCGAGAGGCATAGGAATTGCCTCTCCCCTCTCCGCTTCGGACCACTTACTGGTGTAGCTGCTGTCGCCAATAGTGGACCTGCATATGCTTCTGCTGCTGCTGCTGTTGCTGCTGCTGTTGCTGCTGCTGCTATTGCTGCTGCTGCTATTGCTGCTGCTGTTGCTGCTGCTGCTGCTGCTGCTGTTGCTCCTGCTGCTGTTGCTGCTGCTGCTGCAGGCTGGGGAAATGGTTGTCGGCGGCTCTTCATCAGAAGCTCCCGCGAGGGATGAGGGTGGCCAGGTAACTATGTGCGCTAGCACCCCTTTAGGGTTTAGGGTTTAGGGTTTAGTGTTTAGGGTTTAGTGTTTAGGGTTTAGGGTTTGTGTGTGTAGGTTCTGGCCTCCATCCGCGCCGGTCGCTGCATACTCAGCGGCACCCTCGTCTCGGCAGATCCCCGCAGAGGCACTCTGCAGCTTGTTAAGGTCCTAAACCCTAAACCCTAAACCCTAGAGCAAGCAGTGGTTTCGGGCGCTCTTCTAGAGTCCCCCAAGCCTAAACCCTAAACCCTAAACCCTAAACCCAACAAAAAAACAATAACAAGGGGGCTCTTCTAGGGGCTTTTGTATATCTGTCTCTTAATCTCTTCTTCTCTTGCCTTCATATTTGTTTGTCTCCTTATCTTCATCTCTGTCTCCTTCCCTTGTTAAAACAATATATATAAAAAAGAAAGATATTTATTTGCATATCTTTCTTATTTCTTAAAGTATATGAATATAGATAAACATCTGCCTTATACAAAAAAATACTTATTTATATATCTTTCTGAAACAAATAGTTATATTTATATTTACATATAAATATAGGAAAGAAGAAAGGGATATAAATATAAATATAAATATATATATGTATGTATGCATAAATATATATATATATATATATACATATACATATATATATATATATGCATTAGTATTTTTATCTTTTTTCCTTCTTTAAAAATTTTTTTTCTTTAGGGCTCTTCTGGTTTATCTCTCGCGTGGCGGCTGCGGCCTTCTGGGTATTTAGTTGAAAGTTTTTTGCTTCCTTCAGATCTTATTATAGAGATGCTACCGAAGGAAAGGGGTCGCATAGTTGCATTTAAATCTAAAGAGAAAGGTTTGTCCTTTTCTTATTCTATTTATCTCTTTATCTGTCTCTTTCTCTCTTTCTCTGTCTCTCTTTATCCCTGTCTCTTTAGCTGTCTCTTGATCTGCTTCTTTTTATCTGTCTCTGTCTCTCTTTATCTCCCTCTTTTTCTTTGTCTCTCTGTCTGTATCTTTTTCTCTTTATCTGTCGCTTTCTCTCTTCCTCTGTCTCTCTTTATTTCTGTCACTTTAGCTGTCACTTAAACTGTTTCTGTTTATCTGTCTCTTTCTCTCTTTATCTGTCTCTTTATCTGTTTGTTTATCTGCTTCTATTTCTCTTTGTCTGTTGCTTTATCTGTCTCTTTCTCTGTCTCCTTCTATGTTTCTCTCTCTCTGTTTGTCTCTTTGTCTCTCTTTGTTTATCTCTTTCCATTTCTTTTTCTTCGTCTCTCTCTCTCTCTCCTTATATAATTCTCCTTTACTACTTTTACTATTATTCTTATTCTTATTATTAGTATTATTATTTGTTTTTTCTGTGTTCTTTATTATGTTTACTGTTTATTGTTTGCTTATTTGTTGTCTGATGTTTGTTTATTTCATTTTGTGTTGTTTATATATCTTTAATGCTCGTTTATTTTGTTTGTTTTTTACTTGTTGTGGGGTGTAGGGATAAAAAGTTTGTTTTGGTTTCAAGACCCCGATCCTGCTGCAGATGCTTTATTTATAGAAGAGATAAAAGAAGAATTAAACAAACAAAACGCAAAAAGGTTTGTGCTTCTGGCTTTTTAATCTCTTTCTGTCTCCTTCTATCTGCTTTTCTCTCTCCTTTTGTTTATTATATACCTGCTAGCAAACCCTGCTCTTGTTTATTCAGTGGCTCCTTATATAATACTATATTATATTATTGTTATTATTATTTTATAATTCACTATATATATATAGACGGGGGTTTAGGGTTTATGATTTAGGGTTTGCAGTGGTGTGTTCTCCTTTATCTGCAGCGCCCAGCGAACAGGAGGCGCCTCATCATCAGCAGCCGCAGCAACAGCAGCAGCAGCAGCAGCAGCAGCAGCAGCTGGGCAGCAGCATCAGCAGCAGCAGCAGCATGAGGAGCAGCTGCGACAGTTGCTGCGTTCGTTTGCTGCTGAAAGGGCAGGGAGACGCAGCACGAGAATTGGTATAAGCAGCAGCTTGTTGTTGTTTGTCTTCTTTTGTCTGTCTTCTTTCTTTGTCTTTCTATTCAATCTTTTATCTCTTTTCTGATTAAATCTTTTTGTTTCTTTCCTTTGTCCCTCTTTGTTTTTAAGTAGATTTATCTGCCTCCTTTCTCTTTGGTTTTCGTCTCTCTCATGTTTCGTTTTTTTCCGCCCCTTCTAGCAGCTGCATCACTTGTTGCATCACTTGCTGCTGCTGCTGCTGCTGATGCTGCTGCTGCTCTTCACCCTGCTGCTGCTCCTGCTGGTGTTGGTGATCCTGCTGCTGCTGATGGCCATGACCTTGCTGCTGCTGCTGCTGCTGCTGCTGCTGCTCGTCACCCTGCTGCTACTGCTGCCGCTCGTCACTCTACTACTGCTGCTGCTGCCCGTGACCGTGCTGCTGCTGCTGCTGCTGGTTCTGATCTTTCGTCTGCTGCTTCTCCTGCTGCTGCTGCTGCTGCAGTGTCTCTTTCTAAGGTGTTGGATTCCGAGGCGATCTCAGTTTTGTCTTCTGACCCGGAGGCTATGCAGCAGCTAGCAGAGTGGGAAGAGATATATTTTAATATTCGTTTAATCTGTTTTTTAAATTTCTCTCTTCGTTTGTCTCCTTTGCCTGTCTGCTTCTTTTCTTCTGTCTTCCTTTGTCTCTTGGCCTTTTTATCTGCTTTGTTTGTCTTTGTCTCTTCGTTTTGCTGTTTATTTTAGGTTTTTTCTTTTCCTTCTGTTTGTTTTCTTTGTTTGTATTCGTCTGTCTCTCTTATATTATAACTTGCTTAGATCTCTCGTCTCTCGCTTTCTCTCTTTGTCTTTACTGCTGATGCTGTTGCTGCTGCTGCTGTTGCTGCTGCTGTTGCTACTGCTGCTGCTGCTACTGTTGCTGGTGCTACTGTTGCTGCTGCCGGTAGTGCTGCTCCATCTCCCATACTGCTGCATATACTGCTGCTGCTGCTGCTGCAGATTAATGCCTAGCAGCCTCAAGTCTCCAGCAGAAGCTGTTGCTGCTCTTCGCTGCCCTCAACTTTCTCTTTCGCTTGCTGCTCTTACTCAAGCTATTGCAACAGATGCAAGGCCTATACTCATCTCTATGGGTTCGTACACTGCTGCTGCTGTTGCTGCTGCTGCTGCCGTTGTTGTTGCTGCTGCTGCTGTTGCTGGTGCTGGTGTTGCTGCTGCTGTTGTCGCTTCTGTTGTTGCTGTCGGTGGTGCTTCTGTTTCTGTTGGTGTTACTCTTACCTTTGCTGGTACTTGTGTTATTGATGCTATGAGTGCTGCTTCAGGTGGTGCTGCTGCTGCTGCTTTTGTTGTGCTTGCGCTTGCTGCATCACTGAGGTTGTGTTTGTTTTGCTGCTGCAGGCATCACATCCCCCCCTCCTCTCGCTGCTGACCGTAAGCTGCTGCTGCTGCTGCTGTTGGGTTTGCTGCTAGTGCTACTGCATTTGCTGCTGCAGTTGCTGCTGCTGTCTCTAATAGTAGCTGTTGCTGCTGCTAGTGCTGATGCTATTGCCGTTGCTGTGGTGGGGGTGGTGCTACTGCTGTTACTGCCGCTGTTGCTGCTGTTGCTGCTGCTGCTGCTGTTGCTGCTGCTGCTACTGTTGCTGCTAATGCTGTTATTGTTTAGGATTTATTGCGCTGTGTGCTTTTTCCTTTTGTCTCCAGCATTGGAAGCCTTCGCTCTCGCTTTAGAAGAAAAGTTTGGTGAGGATGCAGCAGCAGCACCAGCAGCACCAGCAGCACCAGCAGCAGCAACAGCAGCAGCACCAGCACCAGCAGCAACAGACGCACCAGCAGAGACAGCAGCAGCAGCAGAAACGGAAGCAGCAGCTGAAACAGGAACAGGTTCGGAAGAGATGGACCAAGAGGCAGCAGACCCCAAGCAGTAGGGCTCTTTGCCTGCGTGCATTGCTGCTGCTGGCGCTGCAGCAGCAGCACTGGTGCTGCTGCTGTAGCTGCAGGGGCGGAAGCACCAGCAGCAGCAACAGCAGCAGCAACAACAGAAGCAGCAGCAATGGCAGCAAGCAAGAATGCTTGCACTAGAGGGAGACAGCTTCCTTCTCTAAAAGCTGCACATACACCTGAATTAAACAAGGAAATTTTGCTGCAGTAACACCAACAAACAAATTATTATTACTTCGTTTTTATTATATTTGTAGTATTTATTTGTATTATCTGCTTTGTTATCATTTTGTTTGTCTTTATCTGTACCATTATTTCCTTTTGCTTATTTATTATTATTGTCTTTGTGTTTATTATTATTATTACTATCAGTATGATTATTATTATTATTACTACTACTACTATTATTATTGCTATTCCTATTATTATTACTTCCGGTATAGGGGCAGCACCTGCTGCTGCATTAACAACAAGGAACGCAGTAATATAATAATGCTTTTAATAGTGAATTGTTTTTTAATTATAAATATTATTATAACTGTAAAGATTATGATAAGTATTGTACTAACTATATAGTATTATAATAGTAATAATTGTTTAACTTCAGAAAGAAAGGCTCCTTACGGTATGTCTTAAAAAGGAGTAAAAACGTTTTGTTTTCTGTTTTGTTTGCTTCGGCTCTGCACTGGATTTATGTTTTTAAAATAACTCTTTAATAAAAGAAAAGAGTTACTTAAAGGAAACAGAAACAAAAACAACAAACAGTGCACTTCGCCTTCTTTTATACAAACCTACTCCAACAACCAGGGCAAGTATATATTTATTTTTATAGTTACTACTACATACATCCAAATATATATATATATATATACGCATATCTATACCTATATATATATATATGGACTGCATTCGTATATAAGCGTGTTCATTTACATCGCTATATATACACATAGATATTTATATTTATATATTTATTCTTACATGTATAGTATCTATAGACTTATCGGCTTATACATTCCTTTAGACATGTATATATATACACTATAAATGAATAGAAACATCAATACATTATATATATATATACATATCTATTTTATATATATGCATTTCTATATACATATGTATATATATATATATATATATATGTGCGAAAGACTAAATAAAGGAGATATAAAAAAAGCAAGAGACAAACAGACAAATCCAAGAGATACAGAGAGGAAAAAGAAATGAAGAAAGGTAGAATGAGATAGAGAAAAAGAAATAAGGAAAGGGACAGAAAGAAACAGAAAGACAGGCAAAAGAGAAACGAAAGAGAAAAACCAAGACTAACAAAGAGTAAGCCAGAAACCTAGGGAGGTGAAAATAAAAACAAAAAATAAATATATAAATAAATACAGAAAGAAAAACCCTACATAGAGTTGTTTGATTTAAATAATATATATTAATTATAACTATAAATTATTATTATAATTTGATACTATTTCTACTTTTATTGAAAAGCACATTACAAGAAAAAGCACGAAATAATGCCTCTCCATGAAGACCATGCATATACTCCTCCTTCATCTTCTTCTTCTTTACCTTCTTCTTCTTTATCTTCTTCTTTATCTTCTTCTTTATCTTCTTCTTTATCTTCGTCTTTAGCCTTTTTATCTTTTTTATCCTTTTTATCTTGTTTATCTTTCTTATCTTTCTTAGCTTCCTTAACCTCTTTATCTGCTTTATCCTTTTTACCTGTCTTATATTCTTTATCCTTTTTATCTTTTCTGTCTTCTTCTTTCTTAACTTTTCCGTCTTTTTCTTTAGTTTTATCTTTTTCTTTAGTTTGCTTATTTTGTTTCTCCTTTTCGTTTTGTTTATCTTTTTGTTTTTCTTCTTTTTGCTTTTGTTTTTGTCTTGGTCTTTGTTTTTGTTTTTCTTTTAGTTCTTTTTCTCCTTCGTCTTTCTCTATTCCCCTTTCGGTTTGTTTTTCTTTTGTTTTCGGTTGTTGTTGCTGTTGTTGTTCTGCATCTTTTTCTTTTTGCTTTAGTTTTTCTTTTCCTTTTTCTTTTGGTTTCTGTTGTTGTTTATGCTGTTCTTTTTCTCTTGCAACTCTTTCTTTTTCCTTTTCCTTTTCTTTTTGCTGTTTTTGTTTTTCTTCTTCCTTTGCTTTTTCTCCTCCCCTTGGCTTTTTTCTTCCTCCTGTTTGTTCTTTGCAGTGTCGTCTGTTTTGGTTTTTTCCTTCACGCTTCTCTTCCCTTTGTTCATAGTAATCGTCTTTCTCTTCTTCCTTTTCTTCTTCCCTTTCTTCTTCTTCATCTTCTTTTTGTTGTTGTTCTTCTTCCCCTTCTTCTTCTTCTTGTTCTTCCTCTTCCCCTTCTTCTTCTTCTTCTTCTTGTTCTTCTTCTTCTTGTCCTTGTTCTTGTTCTTCTTCTTCTTCTTCTTCTTGTTCTTGTTCTTCTTCTTCTTCTTGTTCTTCTTCTTCTTCTTCTTCTTCTTCTTCTTCTTCTTCTTCTTCTTCTTCTTCTTCTTCTTCTTCTATTTCTTTTGGTTCGTTTTCCGTTCGTTTTTCTGTTGTTTGTATCCTTGTGTGTTCATATGCTTGTTTGCTTGGCGTTTTATTTTGATGTTTTTTCTCTTTCTCTTTCTGTTCGTCATCGCTATTTAAATATATTTCTTTCTTTTTTGTTTTCTCTGCATGCGGCATTCCAACGTCAACACCGAAGTACTCTCTTGGCTGGCGCTGAAAGCCCGGAGCAGCAGAAAAAGGACACCATATATTCTCCTCTTGCTGCTGCTGCTCCTGCTCCTGCTGCTGTTGCTGCTTCTGCAGCTGTTGCTGCAGCTTCTGTTGTTGTTGTTGTTGCTGCCGCTGCTGCTGTGTATCCTGAATCAGCGAGAGCAAAAACGGGTCGCTATCTTCAGCAGCAGGAGCAGCAGCAGCAGGAGCAGCAGCAGGAGAAGGACGGGATTCAGAAGCAGAGAAAATTGATTGAAAAGAAGAAGGGAGACCCGTGAATAACGAATAAGTCGGATAAGAAGGAAACGGAGGAGAAGAAGAGGAAGACAAAGGAGGAAAAGCAGAAAAAGAAGAAGGGGAAGAAGAAGAAGAAGGCAGAGAAGAAGTAGAAGCAAAAGAAGAAGCAAAAGGAGAAAATTGAATGTCTTCCTCTCTTTGCTGCTTTTCCGCAACACGAGCATATAAACTAAGACGCTGCTGGTGCTGTTGCTGCTGCTGCTGGTGCTGTTGCTGTTGCTGCTCCTTCAAAAGAGGAAAGCCAGCAGCAGAAGCGGCAGCAGCAGCAGGCTCCAAAAACGGTTGGCGGGGCTGCCTTGTTGCAGATCTGCTGCTTCTATTGCTATTGCTGCTGCTGCTGCTGCTAGTTGAATCAAACTGGGTTTCCTGTTGGGGCTGCAGTGAAGAAGGGAAACGCAATAAGGACTTGGCGAGGGAAGAGGCAGCAGCAGCCGGAGGAGCAGCAGCAGCAGCCGGAAGAGCAGCAGCAGCAGCAGCACCAAAATCGAAAGATTGCTGCTGCCCATCCGCTCTTGAATGAAGGCCTTCCCAGCCAAAAGAGTTCCTCAGTGAACCACAACTGAGATGGCGGGCTTGATGCTGCTGCTGCTGCGGCTGTTGCTCCTGTTGCTGCTGCTGCAGTTGCTGCTGCTGCAGCTGCCATTCTGGTTGCTCCTCCTGCAGCATCTCCCATTCCTGCTGCTCCTGCTGCAGCAGCTGCCATTCTTGCTGCTCCTCCTGCAGCAGCTCCCATTCCTGCTGCTCCTCCTGCAGCAGTTCCCATTCCTGTTGCAGCCACTGCTGCTGCTGCTGCTGTTCCTGCTGCTCATGTTGCAACTCCCATGGATCATCCTGCAGCAGCCACTGCTGCTGCTGTTCCTGCAGATCCTGCTGAAATGTCCATTGCCACTGTTCCTGCTGCAGCAAATGCTGTTCCTGCTGTTGCTGCTCCTGTTGCAACTCCCGTTGCAGCTGCTGCTGCTGCATCCACTGCCGTTGCCGTTTCCGCTGCGCCTCTTGCACAGCCATTCGTCGTTCCTGCTGCTCCTGCTGCTGCTGCCGCTGCACCTCCCATTGCCGCTGCAGCTGCAACGCCCTTCGCCGCTTCTGCTGCTGCTGCCACTGCTGCTCTTGTTGTTCTTGTTGTTCATCTTGCTGTTGCCACGCCTCCCACTGCTTCTGCAGCAACTCCCACTGCTGCTGCAGCTGTTGCTGCTTCTGCTGCTCACGATAGTCCACCCACTGCCGCTGCAGCTGCTGCACCCACTGGTGGTGCACGTGCTGCAGCCATTGCTGTAGCTGCTGCTGCTGCCATTTCCGTTGCTGCTGGACGTGGTGCCTCTTCTGCTGCTTTTGCTGCCGAATATGCAGTGACTGTCGTCCCTGCTGCAACTGCGGTTGTTGCACCTGCAGCACCTGCTGCTGCTGCAGCTGCTGCCTGTGCAAATGCTGCCATGGCTGCTGCGAAGGCTGTTCATGCTGCTGTTGCTGCCATTGCTGGTGCTGGTGCTGGTGCTGCTGTTGCTGCTGCTCTTGCTGGTGCAGCGGCTGCTCCTGCACCAGCGGTGGGCCCTGCAACGGCTCTTGATACTGCTCCCCTTCCTGCTCTTCTTGCTCTTGTTGCTGCTGTTGCTGCTGCTTCCGTTGCTGCAACAGACGTGGGATCGGCCTCCGCCTTGGCTTCGCATAGTCCTTCTGCTTCTGCTGCTGCTGCTGCTGCTGCGACTGCTCCTGCTGCTTCAGCTCCCACTTCTGATGCAACTTCTCCAACATAGACAGCAATTGCCCCAACTGCGGGGACTCCTGCTGCTGCTGCTGCTGCTGCTGCGCAGTTGCTTTTAGATTTTTGGAGGCTGTATATGCTGCAAGAGCAGCATAAAATTTTTTTCGTAGTTTCCCAAAGATATAAGTTTGCCCCTGCAGCTCTTGACGAAGTGTTTGAGAGTATTTATGCTTTTTTTCAAAGGGAGATCGATAGAAAATCCCTATCGTATGTTTACTTTGTATTCGTTCTACCCAGCTACAAACTTCTGCATGCATACGTATTCTTCTAGCTCTTCTGTGTCTTGTTTGAAAGATTAAATCAGTTACTATAAATCCCAGATCTTCAGGGAGTGCCTCTATTAAATCCGATATATTTTGCTGCTGCTGCTGCTGCTGCTCCTGCTGCAGCTGCTGCAGCTCCTGCAGCATATTCAGGAGCTCCCCAAGCCCTCCCTTCGCAATTACTAACTCTTCATGCAACAACGTCGCGGAATGAGCATCCATGCTGCTGCTGCTGCTTCTGCTGCTGTCGGTGCTGATGCCGCTGCTACTCGAGGCGCCACAGGCGATACTGCTGCTACTGCAGCTAATACTGGTGCTGCTGCTGCTGCTGCTGCCGCTGCTGCTGCTTTTTTTTGGAGGGGGGTCTGCGAGGTCTTGTATCATTTTAAGCATAACCTCTGCTCTTTTCAGTGCTCTTTTGCTGTGGCCTTCCCTTTTAAGTGTACCTAGGAGGTGATAGCCTTGACGAAGTATAACAGTAACGCTTTCCTGTCTTTTCTTTTCTAAACGAGGAGAAGAATAAACCCCTAAGACAGCTATCTCTTGTGCCAAAGCTGCAAAGAATTCTAATGCCCTACTTCTCTGCTGGCGCCGCAGCCAAGGAACAAAATCAACAAAAAGATAAACAACAGCCTCCAACGTGTGAAGAAATAGTATTCCTTCTTCTTCTGTTTCTGCTACTATTGCTGGTGCTGCTGCTGTTGCTGCTGATGCTGCTGCTAATTGATTTGCTTGTTCTCCTTTCATCTCTTCCTCTTCTTTTGCTTCTTCACTGTCATAATTATCTTCTTCTTCGTTTTCTTCTTCTTTCTCTGCCATTGCTTCTTCTGCTGCTGCTATTGTTTCTGCTCTGTAGTCTTCCTTTCCTTTTTCTCCCTTTTCCTCTTCTTTTTCTCCTTTTTCTGTTTCTTCGTCTCCATCTTCATCTCCTTTTGTTGTTTCTGTTTCTCGTTCTGGTTCTTCTTCTTCCTCTGGTTCTTGTTCTTCCTCTGGTTCTTGTTCTTGTTCTTCTTCCTCTTGTTCTTGTTCTTCTTGTTCTTCTTGTTCTTCTTGTTCTTGTTCTTCTTGTCCGTGTTCTCGTTCTTGTTCTTCTTGTTCGTGTTCTCGTTCTTGTTGTTGTTCTTCTTGTTCTTGCTCTTCTTCTTCTTGTTCTTCTTCTTGTTCTTCTTCTTGTTCTTCTTGTTCGTCTTCGCCTCCTTCGTGTTCTTCTTCTTGCTCTTCTTGTTCTTGTTCTTGTTCTTGTCCTTGTCCTTGTCCTTGTTCTTTTTCTTTTTCTTGTACGTTTTGTCTTTCTTTTATTTCTTCTCCTTTTGTTTCTTCCTCCACTTCCGGTGTTTCTCCTTCATTTGCTGCTTCTGCTGCTCCTGCAGCTGTTTTTTCTTCCTCTTTGTCTTCCTCATTATCAGGTCTCTCTCTGTCCGCCGGTTCGTCTTGTGCAGCAGCAGCAGCAGCATCACAAGAAACAGGCAGCGGCTCTCCTGCTTGTTTAGCTGCAAGTTTTCGTGTTGCTGGTATCCCGCTGGATTTATCAAGAGAGAAAAACTCATGAAGACACCTCAACATAATAAACACGACTGCTGCACATGAAACCACCGCTACAACTCTGCTAAAAATAGACTGCAGCACATGCCGCTGCTGCCGCTGCTGCTGCTGAAGCAGGTGCTGTTGCATCTGCTGCAGCAGGTGCTGCTCATTCTGTTGGTGTCTCCATTCAAGCATTAAAGGAGACCCTACAGACAAATGCGAGGAGCTGAATGCAAGCGGATCTGCCGCTGCTGCTGCTGCTGCTGCTGCAGGTGTTACTGCAGGTGCTACAACAGGCGCTGCTGCAGATGGTGATGCTCCAATGGTTCGTTCTTTAGCTGCAGCTGCTGCTACAGAAGGTGCTGCAGCAGTTGCAGCTGCTGCAGCGACGCAGCACAACAAGCGAATGGAGGCGGACGAGCCCCTAAATGTTCTATTAGGGGAGACGGTAGCTTTCATTGGAAACACTTCAATGGGGCTTTACTAGTGGTTTCTCGCTGCCTATTGCTGCATGCATGCATACATGCATGCATGCATATAAAAAAAAGGCAAACAAACAAGGAGAACCCAGCACATAGGTTGCTACAATGAGAAGAGGATTTATGCTGGGATCGTGGGGATCGACTCCTGGCGATCCCGATCCCATTGCATTCAGAAGAGCACTAAACTTTCTTCTTGTTTATTTTTCTTCTCTTCTTCTGCTTTCAATAGACAATGAATCTCGACACTCGCACTCCAGCCTAAACAGCAGCAACCCAAACAGGCGTACACAAAGAATAAAAGCAAATAATAAATCTGCTGCTTCTATTTGTCTTTTTAAAACATTAATCTAATAAGGACGGGCAGCAACGTAAGCAAGCAGCTTAGGAATAAGTAGACAAAAGATGAGCTACGGGTATAAAGGAGCAATCCGGAGTTAATAAGAAAAATGATAATGGCAAATAATTATGAATATAAATAAAAAATAGTAAAAAAGAATTAAAATTCAAAGCAATTAATATTGAAGACGAGGATCCGCTCTCAAGAAAAACATAGCTCTCTCAACGCAGGCATCGATACGTACATATTCTGCTGCAACTCGCAAAGAATTTGGGCATTAAGGCATTTTTTAATTGTAACGTAGTACATTAAAATTAAGAACAAATTAAAATATTGTAAGAATTCTTACGATGTATGAATAATCATATTCTGGCAACTCAAGACGTTCGGTTGGGTATAGATAAGAAAGCAGAACGCTCTGGAGATATATTTGCTCGAGCTCTTCTGAATTGCAGCAAATGTAATTTAAAATGACATTTTATTTTATAGTTAAAATTAATTTATGAAAAGATTTCCCAGAATAATAGACAGTTGTCTGCTCTACTCATGCAACTTCATTTCACCAGGAACCATCATATCAGCATATGCAGACGATTAGCCGCCACACATCGGAATAGTGAGGGAAAAAGACAAGAATTGCAGCTCTTTTTGAAGAATTAATTCAAATTATATATTTATTTATTTATTTACAAAATTTTATCTTCAATTTTACCCTATTTTCTACACAAATTCCTCTCGTCGCCCGCTGCGGCTGCTCTACTCGACGGAAACCAATGGACTTCAATTTTGTTATTTTTGCAATTTTTCCCCTTAATTCGTTTTATTTGATGAAAATAAAGTTTATAAATGTTTATTACTTTTAAATGATCATAAGGAAAAGATAATGTTATCCCCGTTGACTCATTCTCAACGTATATATGTGCAAGACAGAAAGACAAACCCTAAACCCTAAACAGTAATCTGTAAACCCTAAACGTTAAAACCCCTAACCACTGAAAACCCTAAACACTAAACCGTAATCTGTAAACCCTAACTCCTGATCCCTAAACCCTACGCCTTTAAGAAGGGCTTTGTTATCATCATCTGATAGTACACCATTCTTACGTGCATCGACACAAACAAAAAATTAATTTGTAAATTCAATAAACAAACATTAGCAAAAAATTAATATCCTTTTTTATTTTTATTTCTCTTCATTACTACACATGAGGATACACAAGATAATGTCTTCTCAGTTGGGTTGAAAATGGCTTTACTCTTCTCTTACGAATTTACATGCATATATATATATATATATATATTATATATGTATGTATATTTATATGTGCATATTATTAATTATTATTGTTACTCATTCATTATTATTATTCCTTCTTAACCATTATTACTGCTTATTATTCATTATTACTACTTATTAACTATTATTACTTTATTATAATTATAATTTGTAATTGCTGTACTCTTTATTGTCTTCTTGCCTTCTTTCTTAGTATAGAAAGTGCTTGTCTCTATGTCTTCTTCTTTTTCGTTTTGTTTCTCCGTCTGTCTCTTTCTTTTACTCGGTTTATCACTGCATGATTTTATTCGCTTACAAATACATTTTTTTGGTTTTTTTTTGTTTGTGCATGCGATAGAGCAGCAACGAGCAGAAAAAGCAGCAGCAGCAAAGAGCAGAAGCTGCTACCGCTCTCTCTTTTTTTCTTTTTGTTTCTTCATTCGAATGAAACATCAAAATTAAATAAAAACAAACCATATAAACACGCGCTCAACCATCAGCAACATGTGAAGATTTATATATATACACATATAATATATATACTGATATATTATATATGTATATAATATATATATATATATATACATATATATGTACATGTACACATACATATATATATACACATATATATATGTATATATATATATATATATACATATATGTACATACATATATGTGTATATATA